TCCATCCATCCATCCATCCATCCATCCATCCATCCATCCATCCATCCGTCCATCTGTCCGTCCGTCCGTCCATCCATCCATCCATCCGTCCATCCATCCGTCCATCCGTCCATCCATCCGTCCGTCCATCCATCCATCCGTCCATCCATCCATCCGTCCATCCATCCATCCGTCCATCCATCCGTCCATCATGTTTAACTCGCTTCTTCCTTTTCGGGTCACAGGGGTCAGGGATGTCCATACCCAGCAGTCACTGTGCGAGAGACGAGGGACACCTGGACATGTCTCCGGTCCATCACAGGGACAACTTAGAGTCACATTCAGTCTAACATGCATGTTTTTGGTCTGTGGGAGGAAACCGGAGTACCTGGAGAAAACCCACGCAGCACAGAGAGAACATGTAAACTCCACAGAGAACAATTCCTGGCCAGGAATCAATCCAACAACCTTCTTGCTGAGAGGCAGCACTTCTACCAAATGAGCCACGTGTAATAAACATGTTGTTGTTTATTCTTCCTTCAGAAGAATGGAGGTGGAGCAGAAGAGGTGGAGCAGAGAGGTGGAGCAGAGAGGTGGAGCAGATGGTGAGGGATCAGGGTCTCTGCTCAGGGGCCCAGGGTGGGGCAAACATGGATGGAGACAGGTGTGGGTGCTTCACCTTTCCCACCCACATTTTGATGTTGGTGCAGAGAGTTGAGCCGGTGACTTTCCGATCCCAGGCCCACCTTCTCTAACCTCTGCCCCCCCCCCCCCCCCTACAACCCACTGTAAGAAACTCATGCTTTTTATTTAGAAAATGTCAAAACAGTTTACTGAAGAAATGATCATGCGCTGTAATGTTTGACATTATATGATCAAATGTAGGGCAGCACGGTGGTGCAACTGGTAGAGCTGCTGCCTCTCTGCGAGCAGGTCCCTGGTTCAAACCCCGGTCCAGGGGCCTTTCTGGGTGGAGTTTGCATATTCTCTCCGTGCATGTGTGGGTTTTCTCCAGGTGCTCCAGTTTCCTCCCACAGACCAAAAACATGCATGTTAGACTGATTGGTAACTCTAAATTGTTCCTAGGTGAGAGAGAGAGGATGGTTGTTTGTCTCTGTGTGTCCCTGTGATGGACTGGAGACATGTCCAGGGTGTCCCTGTGATGGACTGGAGACATGTCCAGGGTGTCCCCCGCCCCTCGTATAGTGATTGCAGGACATGGGCACCGGTGACCCAAACTGGAAGAAGTGGGTAAAAGATGATGGATGGATGATCAAATGTCAGATTGTCACGTTTCATCAGTTTTTAATCTTTACGCTGCTGTTAAGATTTAATTTATCTCTGGTCAGAACGTGCATCATGTCCAACTTGAACTTTTATGTTTTAGCCTCTTTTTGAGTCAGGACTTGTTGCTGTGCTGCTCATCAGAAACACTTGGGTGATTGTTTCAAGATGAGTTAATTTAAAGAAGAACACAGAAAGCGTGTCTTTCTCATCTACAGAACATAAAGCAGCTTCAGATGGTGTCCGACTGATCAGCTCTTATTTCATGTGCAAGTTGAACTTTGTTCAGGTGCTCGTCGGTGTCACTTCCTTTCTACATTAAGGGCAGAGGACAATGACACACTGCTGAACTGATGGAGTCTCCATGAGCTTAAAAGCACTTGGATGGGGGCGTGGCCTGAAGAGAAAAGCTGTAATGATTCAGTTTAAACGACAGCTTAAAACAAAAAGTGCTTATTTATTCTACACCTGCAGAGTTTTGAGTCAAACAGAAATGAAATGCAACAAAATGAAACAGACAGAATGTGACACACTTTATGTTCTACAGACCTGCTACATCAAATTCAATCTCCAGAGTGACCTTATTAGTGAGCGCTGCATCTCGGAGAAGCTGGTTGGCTTCTTCAAGTGTTCCATCTTCTGTGGGGATCCCATTGATTGACAGGAGGCGGTCTCCAACCTGCAGCAGGCCACACCTGCAAACACCAGCCAGGTGAGGTCAGTGAGGGTGGAGGTAAAAACCCATTGATGATATTCATGCTTCAGTGAAACTGTGCCTATCTTTGTCTGCGTGGGTGCATGTTGAATGAGTCTGTTAGCAAAATATCCCATCAACCCATAGATAGATTTTAATGAAACCCTCAGAAAGTAATCATCATAAAAACACACAGCTGCTTAAATTTAATTCAACCACATTCAAGATGGCGGCCACAACCAAGTGGCCTTGTCAAACACAACAACGGCTGCCAAGTGGCTAGTTTAATCACTGAATTAAAATTAGTTTAATCACTGAATTAAAAGT